CCGTGTCTGTGGAGGGAAAAGACCATACGCCCATATGGTGAACCATCAGAGATCATCAGAGCCATATTTCCAATGCTATTTTCCATACCATCAATCGTGGAATACTTCGCTCCGCTGTCCTCGAGACACGACGATGCCAGCATGAAATCTACCAACTCTCACGTGTTGAGTCGACAAGCTCTCCCGATTGGCTCTTTCCCCACGCCAAATCGATCACAATGGCGCGCGCTTTTTCCTCCACCATCCGACATAGTACTCACCTGTTTTCGCGATTGCTAAGCTCGAAGGCCAGGTTGACGAGGAACTTGCCATAGCCATGACGTTGAAACGTCGGCAACACCATGATACACGAAAGGATATGCGAAAACTGCTTGTCGACTTTTTCCTTCGAGAAGTATCCTACAAAGTGCGGCGGCCTCGTCGAGACCGGCATGGACGTCGGCGATGGGGGAATCTGATCAACGAGCATGATCATCACAGTGTCACCATCACCACCACACTCGTCACCTCTTCTGGATGGTCCCACTCTACCAGGATGTAGAACCAGAAGGACTTCACCAAATCACGCCGATTACTTTGGTGTTCGGAAAGGCTCTTACCCTGAAAACCAGGCCTATACTTAGTAAAAACCAGGCCTATACTCAGTAAAAACCAGGCCTATACTCAGTGAAAACCAACAGTAAATGTACTCAGACTGTGAGCACATTCACATGGCAAACTGATTGAAGAATGCGTTCCTAGCCATACGTGGAAAATTCAAAATGAGTTTTCCCCCAGGAACATTATAGGTTCCTGGATGATTCTCTGCGGAGTAACATAAACAAAAATATGAAATATAATTCCTTGAGAGGGCCATGCATTGCCATGATTTACCTCGAGGAAGAGTTTCGTGAACAGGACCAGATTCTCACAGTACTCTGGATGCGCCTGCCCATCTACTTCCACCACACCCAACACTTTCTCATCCAACACTTTTCGCCATATAAGAGCGCCTATAACAGAGTGTCACCACTGGTGTCACCCCACAATCACGCCCACCTGGTGGGTTAATTTCGCAACAGGTGACCATATGAGAATACCTAAATAAAGGTGATCCACGAGGAGGCTGATCCCCAACAAATATCCTCACATTTCCATCTCATCAGCAAATGGCCGGAAACAACGATCGCATATGTCCAACTGTGTGACAGGATCGTTCCGCGTGTCACCAGCCCGTAAACGCAGTCGATCGACGATCTCGGCAGGGTATGGAGAGAAAAACCTAAGGTTAAGAGGGATAATATGCTCAACTACATGTGTTGGTGACAATATGGAAATTTTTATATTATATTATTTATATTCTTTTTCATTATTTGTTATTTTATGTATTATTTTTTGCTAAAAAAAATTCTGAGAAAATTTCGGAAAATTTTCATCACTTTCTGTATCCTACTATTCCAAGTCGTATGTAAACTTCTGAATATTTAGTGCGTAAACTCTTGAACTCAGCTGAGGAAAGCGAGCATATACTCCGCAGTCGAGCCCTAATCCTTCCCCTCAACATCGACCCTACAACTTACCACGTATACAGCGGACGGTCTCGTCCGATCTTCACAAAGCGAATGTTCTTCACTCGTGCTTTTGCTTTTTCCAAGTTGATCCGATGACTAGCAATGTAATATTGTTCGTTATGTTTCCGTCCATACCTGAGCAGCGACACCTTCCCCCAGGCACAAACAGCCTCCCTACACCTACTGCAGCTCCCAGTACTTCTCATCAATGCCAGGCGGATCTGTAGGCCCTCTACTGTGCTGTCGCGGTGTGTTGGGAGTCGTACCCGTATGCGACATACCACTATCCATATCTAATCACAGCCAGAGTAGTGACAATTTGATGCTATATGCATATGGTCAACCAGTGGTTGACGACCACACATTTTGATTCTTGTTGGTCATTTAAAATAACTTGAAATAGTCAAAATAACTTATTTTGCATATCGAAGTCGTGCGTAAATTTTCATGATATGATGCGGAAACTCCTGAACTCAGCTGAAGAAACCACACACATATTCCAACATTCAGCGACAAAGTCTCCTTCCCAACAATCTAGCGCTCATGTCACGATGGAATTCCGAATACGAGGAATAAAAGAAAGCACGCATGAGAAGGTCTACACTCACCAGCGGTCGAGACGGAGTCATTGAGAGGAGTCCTTGCCATCCCATTGCTGTGACCTCCGTCATCATCAGGAATCCTATAGTTGGCCACCTCCTCGGTAGTCAAGGCAACAACATCCGCATCTTCATACCTAATACGATTGATATCAGTTTATATATAAACAATATTCCCTGAAATTCCTGCAAGTCATGAGAGGCTCATGTCCTCGTGAAAAAAACTCTCAAAACTCTGTCGTTCTCCATCGGATTCCCCACCATGACATTTCCTCAATTTCAACCGCTTCACGAATACGCTACCACATGCATCCTTTGAAAAAGGGGCCAAAATTGAAGATCGAGTCGGAACACCCAAGCCTACCAGTCGGAAAAATGCATGCCTTTGTCGTATAGAAAGACGTAATATAAAAATTTTATTCCGTTGGAGGTGAAATCTGCCGCTGGCACTTTAATCACGTCAATCACTTCACCCAGCAGTCTTTCCGATTCAAAATTCTGCAGCGTTTCTGACAGTAGAAATACCTGAATATGGGAGCAGGTGACCACGACCGAGTGAGAGAAGACGAACGCCACCTTGGAGCTGTCGAGCCAGACTAATTGTCCGACGAAGAGTGCCCCCTCAAACGTTCGGGAGAGGGAATTGCGGGTCTGCGGGGTATCGGGCAATATCTAAAACAATTTCAACTCAAAGGGGCGACCAAAGAAACCACACTTACTTTCCCTCGACCAGGCGTGGTAGTACTAGTGGCCTGGTCCCTCTTAGGTACCGACTCTTCCTCTTTCTTTGTTCTGGAGCCAATACTCCCATGGGAATGTTCTCCGACTTCTTACCCAGAGCGATGATGTCGGAGACCGGTACGGTCATGTGAACAACTACGTTCATAAACAAATAGTACGGATGAAGTTGTCCCTCCCACAGATTCGGTCAAATTCGACCGTAGAACTCAAAATAGATGATGAACTCATCAGAGGAAATGGGAACATAACCGTTCATGGCCATACAACTGTTGATGAAATATCAACAGGAACGGCATCCACTTGATGCGAATATCCACACTATGGCGAATCCTATCGGCCAAGGCACCCATAGGCCACCGTTTCCCTCTCCTTCTCTTTCAAATCCAAAGAAAGGTCAATACTGTCGATACTCAGGTTATGGAAGACGGCATTGGCGAACGGACTAAATCTGAAAATGTGACAGAACGATTAAGCTGTACCAAACACGAAGATTTTACCGATTCCTCTGCGACCAATAAGCGGTCATCGTTGTCAGTCTCGGAGCCATCGGTGGAATATGTAGGCTTCCGCCGAGTTATCCAAATGGTGTCGTCGATATCATTTCGATCACCTCCGATTAGATAGCGAGTATCTGATAGGCACGAAGACGTGCTCCGCTGGAAAGAATGCCTGAGGCATGAACACGAAGGCCAAGAGACATGAGGAAGACACCAACAGGAGAACGATGAGCCGTGGCGAGTTTGAATGCCAGACCTCTATATATCTGATTCTGGACGTGAAAACCCAGAATCTTCCGCGGTTGCACGGCGCTAGACTGCGGTCCCGCCTTTGGCGGAGATCCGTATATATGCGCTAGCAGCTACGTAATCACTGAAAAGGAAAAAGCAATCACACGTACCGTAAATCAACGCTACGAAATCTCCTAGTCAACTCACCTATCAAAGGCTCTGGAGGCATCTTCCCCGTCTACTCGGGGTTGTTGAATGATAAGACTCTGAGTCTTGGAATCGCTATACTCCGTAGAGGTGGATTGCATTCAGGACGAGGTAATTTTACAGCCGAATCGTATCAAACTCAGTGCACGTCATGGTGTACATTGTCAACCAGAACTATCTGGGAAAATTGATGTATTACTGACGTAAATACTGGCGGCATCTTAGAACGAAAGAAAAGAATCATCTTAGAACCTCACCTTAATGGCAGTGGAGGCGATTCTGTGTGAAGATACCACACAAGCAGAATACCAACACCTGAACAAGGTTATCGGATACTCCTACCAAGATGAAAGCGGTATGGCTCGTACGTTGCAGAGAGAAATATTTTCGGCATGCACTTTAAGACGTGGTCAACCTCAGGTTGTCAAGATGCCGACCATCATGACAGAGAAAACTGACAAGAAAATCACAGTCTGAAGATACAATTTGCTCTCACAGGAGTTGTGGCGCCAGTGAACGAGATTGAGGATCACCGATAAGGTATATATGATACCAATACTATACTCTCAACGTGGATCACCCTGCCTTTAGCCACCGCTCGGAAGCCGACGCTTCGGATCCATCATAGGGAGACAACGCAAACTAAGCAAAGGAGGAAGCCCACTGAAAGCTGGAGGGTCCAGCCCGAGACACACTCAGAACGATCGACAGGGACACACCTATGTACTGCATCGTGGAAATCACCACGAAATCTGAGGTCCGAATGCTCGACATTCTTTCTGAGATCAAGTGTCATTCGTCCTCAAAGGGAATGATGTGCCGAGGCCTCAGAGTTGCTGGATTAGGAGCATGGCGCATACTCTGTGAGGGCAGAATACCACGTGAAGCATGTACGTTCCCTGGAACCAAACCTCACAACGAGAAAGGAGGGGTCATGGAGCTAGCATGAAACTTTTACGTCTAACTATTACGATATCATGTGTGATAGGACTACAGTCGATATGATTATCGATTATCGGCGGCCACAAGTGCTTGGACAACCTGAAGCTACCAATCTTTGGCCTGTTCGATGCGCGACAATCTCACTTGGTCATTTTTGATCAATACGGTCGATACTCAGGTTATGGAAGCTCGGGTCATCATGACCTCGCTGGCGGTTTACGGGGCCTTGGCGGCAGCTTACCTCTTTCGGCAGGTCGATTCATGCTCCCAGACATCTATCAAATTCCACCTCACACGCAGCTCGAAAAACTGAAGATTTTTGCGCCACAAATGAAAAAGTATCGAAAGGCTTAAGCCGGGTTCTACGTACAGTGTTTCTCACTGGTCACCAGCGAAAATCAGTATACGTAGAACGAGTTTCATCATTAACATGGAAACACCAAGTATTCGAGCACCAAGTGTTTCCATGTTACGGATGAAACTTGACTATTCCCTGCTTTACTCAAAAACCTTCCAGCATACTCACCTCCGTTTGTCCAACGCCCTCATCATCATTCGAGGAGTTGCCACGTGATGCGTCTGCATGGGAGCTTGAGCTGTTTCCCTGACGCGACAAAGGAGCGAATACCAACAAAGAAGATGCGACCGTATCTTACCCGACCAGCCATGGCCGCTAGTTTCCCACCCCTACATGCAGGATATACACGACGTGGCGCTCGCGCACCTCCCTGGTCCACATGACCAGCACCGATGCGTGCCAGCGGAGGAGAGAACTGCGGTCGTGGAGGGACGATGCTCGAAGTCGATTCCATAGGTTGCATGGCACCAGGCAGCACCGACATCGCAGGAGGGATGACTTGAGGTAAGGGTGGTAGGGATCCAGCGCATTCTGAGTTGGGCCTCTCATGTGTGACATCAGCGAACGCCGGCATTGGAATCTGGCTTGGACGAGGGGGTATTGGCGCTACTGGTGGATCCCGCGATTCCGCCGGGGTGGACCGAGGCAAATTTCGCGAATTGTCATCTCTAAGTGGCCTCCAACACTCGGCTGCCCTCGCATGCTCGGGTCTTGCCGCGTCAGCCGACGACGCCGCGGATCCACCAATGTTGAGTGGGATCTTCCCCTCCCTTCGGGCCTCCCATATCCAATTACATCCATCTGGAACACGACCAATGCTCATCGAATATGACATCAAATAGAAAATCTTCTCGAAATAATCACCAAAATCATGGCGAACCGACCCGAAGACCCGCAAAATTATCCCAACTCACTATTAGTAATATCATTCCACCAGTCATTCCACACAACGTTGGGTGACTCCTCTTCTTCCCTCGGAGATGCGATTTCGATACGCCTGTCCTCTCCCCATCGACTCCCGACTCCCCAGTCCGCATCCCCCAAAGGCCCAGTAGGGGCAGCAACCACTTTCGCAGTCGTCGGCCGTTCGAGTGGCATTCTCGTTATACTTGCCTCACTGATGCTCTCAATACTCCCCACCGCCTCCTCCGCTTCCGGCTCTACAGTGGTCCTGGGCGGACAGGGAGCAGAATAAAAAGAACCTACTGCCGAGCCACATAGACCGACCACAGTAGTTGTGCCTCCGCCTACTCTGGCCAAAAGGCCCATCGATCACACCCGATGATGAAGGCATCGGATACCGATTCGGGATTGCCTCAACCACTTCGGCGGACGATGGAGGCGTCCAATTACCACTCAGACCTGATATCACCAATAGCAGTGGTTCCCAGAGGAGTGCAAGAGCTTATCTCACTCTCTTCCTCCATCTGAAGTACAGCAGCTAACGCCGCATCGTTACTACAGTCTTCTTCTATTGGAGAAAACCGCACAGCCGGTGACTCACGACTAGTCGACATCTGCCTCAGCAACACTCGATTCGGCCTGTCACCACGAATACCACCAACTACTTTACCACGCCTTCTACACAACGCATGCCTCGTCACTCTCCCTCTGGCACTCCGGACATCGAATACAGTTCCCACCAGCCCTCCTCATAATAGAGGTAACGCAGCTACGACAGTACGTATGTCCGCACCGTCCCAATACCTGCATCAGACCCCATTCATATATCCGCTTCCCATCGCCTCCCACCATAGGCGTGTGGACCCCTCCATCGTACGCGTCAAAGCAGATGGTGCATCCCTCAGGGTCAGAGTCCACCATTATGAAAAAATTCAAACTGGGACCCTCCTCTCACTCGCTGACCATCCATCCAACATATAAAAAATCGAGGAGAAACGAGTCACAATAAGAACACCCATGCCACTAGAATTCCCTCATCCACTGCACTTTAGCATCTCATAATAGAATTTGCCTTCTCCCCGAGTTCCTCGCCTCCAACTCTGCTAAAGTCGGTGCCCGACTCTTCGGTTTGGGCGGTGCCGGCCTCCGCTGTTCACTCACAGCATCGTCACTCAATGGGACCGGCGGGGGCTGATAGCCAACACGCAATCCTCAACTACTACACAGAGGCTCTTCTTACCGGTGGAAGCTGCCATAAGTCAGGGCTTGGTAGCCCGCCAGAGTCCCATCTAATCCCTCTAGCCTGCCGGCCACCCTGTGACGGCGGCGCCTCCTCCACCCCTCCCCTCGTCACTTCCTCCTCCTTGCCGAACTCCCAATACCGTCGACTAGGGCTCGTCACAATAGCAGCTGTCGTCCCGGCCCCATCCCCCCATTGCGATTTCCATCCCTCTCTGGCCTCACTC